ATATTGTTTGTCAGTATTCAACTGACGGGTGAGCATATCATGCACTATCTTCGCCGACCATGTGAATTCTTTGTCAACAAACTTAAGAATCACACCCACTGATGAATTTAACAAATAGCTCCAGACATCATCCCCTAAAGATTCATGAAGCCTACCAAGGTTTGTCATATCARAGTAGCGATTCATACTTRTCTCTTGTGCAGGTTCTTTTCCAAGAGGAAACTTTCTACCGGGATACGCCACCTTCTTAACACGCTTCTTATCACGCTCCTTAAGACTCTTCTGATCAGTCRCTTTGTCCCCCTCTTCATCAGGATCCTTGGCCCAATCCTCATATTTTTCATTAAGCCAATCACCATGCGACTCCTGAGAACCCTCCTCATTGGTCCCCTTAGCAGCCTCTTCACCGATTTCCTTACCACCATCTTTCTCACTCTCTTTAGCAATCTCTAGATCAGTCTCTTTCCCACTCTCTTTATCATCTACAGACGACATCACCACATATACCTGACCTACACATCATCAAAAATATTTACAAATATGCATCARTGAATAAACAAATCTGCAGAGCTGTGCAAACAATTATAAATCTACCAAATTCACAGTAAATCTGCAGAGGTGTGCAATCACTCAATTATACATCTACCATGACACGTAATGATTAAACAAGTCCAACATAAATCTACAGAACATAGTAAACAAATCTGCACAAAGAATAAGTAATGTACAATGTGGAATTTTTTGACCAAGTTCAAACTAAATCTGCAATGGTGGTCAAACTAATTCAACAAATATATCTGCAAACAAGAATGAATTTAACTAAATSTGCAACAATATTCTCCAAATATGTCACCCAAATCATATCTACCAAACTCTGCAGAGACTGAACAAATATATCTGCAAATAAGTATGATTTTAACTAAATGTGCAACAACATTGTCCAAATATGTCACCCAAATCATATCTACCAAACTCTGTAGAGACTGAACAAAAATATATCTGCAAAGAAGAATGATTTTAACTCAATCTGCAACAACATTGTCCAAATATGTCACCCAAATCATATCTACCAAACTTTGCAGAGACTGAACAAAAATATATCTGCAAAGAAGAATGATTTTAACTCAATCTGCAATAACATTGTCCACGTTTCGCTCATGAAAATCGAACTTAATTGTTCAAAAAAATTCCTCCAAAACATTCAGAACAATTTCAATAAAGTCTACACCATTTACCAGTAAATCTACACAAAAGCCACCAAATTAACAATTTTTTCCTTATTTCTCTAACATATTTCGTTCAAATGGACGAACTATGCAACGAACACTACAGTGCAGAACGAAATCTTCATAAAACCAAACCAAACTTAGGGTTTCAGATTTTTTTCCCTCCGTAACATTTACGACAACACAAACAACAATATAGTTTCATACCTCGGCAAACAAGTCGATGTTGGTGTCCGAAACTTGAAGCGACGACCCTAAACCCTAACGACAACACCAAACGAACAACCGCAGAAGATGATCGAAGGTTTTTCTCTTCCTAATATTCTCAACGGACCCTTGCAAAATCAATTTCCGACAATTYAATTGGTTTATCACCCTTGTCGGAAGCAATCTCCTCAGTCACTTCTCTCTGTTTTTTTCGCACACCCAGAAAACACAGAGAAGAAGAAGACGAGCAGTTTCAAATTTTTTCGTTTTTTTTTTTTCTGTCAGTTTGTTTTAATTTTGGGAGTTGTAAAAAAAATATTTAATGGCATAACTGTAATTACAATTTATTATCATGGTTTATATGACTTTTACTCTGATTTTTTTTACTTAACTATAAATGTAGGTTAGTTTAGTAATAAGTGGTTAAATGTAGGTTAGTCTACGTAATTTTCCTAGAACGAATATTAAAAAAACCTGGATATTAGTTTTTATGGAAAACGTATTAATTCCTCCTAAAAGTTTCATATCCTCTCATATACATCCGGACAACTAATCTCATACTATTTTCCCACATAATGAACATCATTTCCCATCTAACAAACATTAAACGTTTATTTCTTCACAGGATAAACATTAAACTATTATTTTACCCCAAATCCGTTTAAATTCGGTTTAGTGTATACCAAATTTCTATTAACCAATTTATTAAAAAACAAAACCGTTACTTAACCATATAATGATCCGATTTTGAAATTAAAACCCATTTTGTTTATACCACCCAAAATCAAAAAAATCCTCAAATCACCAAAATCAAAACCATGAAGAATCCTAAATTTCCCAAACTCAAAATCCCAAAATCTAAGTTCACGTCAATTCTGAGTTAATCTTTGAGATTCTGAGTTTATCTTTGAGATTCCCAAACTACTCTTGTCATCTTGTCATCTTCTGTTTGGTAGCCGGGATTGTGATAGAAGAGAAAAACTGGCCACCGTTTTTTCCTCTCATCCATCATGACATTTCGAACGAGATACCCATCCATCTGCAGAGAATCCAATATGTTGCATTCACGTCATTGCTGGGTACAAAAAATGTGTTCTCTGTTTCTTAAATGAACAAACCATCTAATAATTGCAAAAGAAGTGGATTTGTTGAATTATTAGTAAACAATCTTTATCCCTGTTTGGCAGGTCTTATGGTGTGCCTGTTATGGAACATTACAACTGCTTGGATCAATTCTGAGTTTATCTTTGAGATTATGAGTTTAGGGTTAAGGAATTTGAG